GTGATGTAGACATGTGGGGGCGTGTTAGAACGAGCCATTTTAGGTAGGCGTCGTTGACTCTTAACTTTTATAAAGAATATCTCTTTGGATTTGAGACTTTAGTCTTTGCAACTTTACAGATCTTCTTTATGCACCAAGAGCTTGTAACACTCCAAAGAGAAAGGACAAATTGAAATCGCATCATATGATCCCTTTAAATAAGTATTAGCATTTATTTTAGTACAGCCAGGTCCATATATATTTTAGCTGCTGACCAAAACATATTCAAGTTATAGTTATATGGCCGAGTAAATCTCCTGATCTCAACCCGATTGAGCTGCATTTCACTCACTGAAGACAAAACTAAAGGCAGGAAGAGCCACAAACAACAACTGAAGTCAGCTGCAGTAAAGGCCTGGCAAAGCATCACAAAGTTCTCACATGAGTCCAGACTTAAGGCACTCATTGCCTGCAAAGGATTCTCAACAAAATATAAAAAATAAATATTACATTTGAGCCTCTGAAAATTGGTGGACTGTGTATAAAAATGGTTGTAATTCCTTATGTTATATTTTTGTTCAACCCCTTGAAGTAAAGCTTCAAGTCTTGATCGTTTCATTTTAATTCTGTTCTGGTGGCATACAGAGACAAAATTATGAACATTTTGTCAGTGTCCAAATATATATGGACCTAACTGTAAGTATCTGTTTCAGTTAGGACATCTTATAAGGCAGCTGTCTGCGTAAGAGGCGGACAGCAAGGAAGTGCACTTGTTTTTGGAACACAGCCTTTGAGTTTTCTTATTCTGCAGAAAGAAAACCAAACCTCCATAACATTCTGCACCGTTTCATTACCATAGCAACAATAACTCACGAGATGCAGTCCGACGCTGCAGTGGAGCCGGTTTATTTATATCTCTCGGAGCACAAGGCTCCACGGGTAAACTGGAGATCAGGTCACAGGATGATAATGCGTGACGGCTGATTGATTAGGCACATTGAGTCCAGAGGGGCCAGCGATGGATGAGGAGGATCATCGGGTTCTTTAGCTGCCGGTTCAACATGACACCTCGCTGTCACGCAGATTACAACTCTGTTTTCTCAGTGCCATCTCAGAGACAGGCAGAGGACAGTCCACCGCCCACACTAGACACGCCAGACACACGAGACGCTTATATTTGCATGGTATTGATTGTAGATTTGGAGGAACAATCGGGTTGTAAAGCAGGAATGGTCTGCATTTGCAGGATTACATTGTGTCCGTGCAACATTCATTGTCTGATAGTCAATAAAAGCTGGAGACGAGGTGCTTATTTTTGTATTTGCCTGTTAAAAAAGCATGCTTCTTTAAACCTGTAAAGCCTGACGTAAGAAATAATCACTTTTTTTTTTAATGGAACAGTTTATTGAACCTTTAGACACAATATAAAAACAAATCTTAAGCAATAAGGTTTCATATGTGTTTTTTGTTGAGTATCATATTTGATCCATCAGGCTTTTATGGCTCATATAGTCTGATATAGTGAGGACAATACAGATCAGTTTTATTCAGAGACTTAAACTGAGCAGAAATATGTAATTTGCTGCAGCTGCTGATAATTCTATGATGAAATTCTGATGCTTGTAATGTAAATCAGTGAGATCTTTGTAACGGTAGAGCAGATATTTGCATAGAATTATATAAATATCAGTCATTACTCTGTAATAATATGTCTTAATAAGATGAGATGAGATGATCCAAACATATAATGCAATGCAATCCAATGATGATTGAGAGATGAAGAAATAAACGCTCCTCAAAAGCCTGATGATCATATTTGAACATGATTCAATTAATATTATTTTAAATAAATAAAGATGATGATGATGATGATGATGATTCACTCAATTGAAGTCAGTGTTATTATTGCTAAAACTTAAATCATAAAAATGTCATTAATTGAAAAGATATGTTCAATAAAATTAACAAAAGGAACTAAACCTAAAACTTAATAAAAACAATATAGAAAATAAATAAAGTTAATAAAACTTTAACTAAAATTAAAATCTAAACAAAGTATAAAACATTAAATCTAACTGAAAATATTAAATAAACTAAAACTTAATAAAAAAACAACATATAGAAGACATATAATAAAATAATAATAAAAATGACAAAACACAACAAAATTACTAAAACTTTAAAATGAAAATAAAAATATAAAAATCAAATCAAATTCAAAATATTGACAAAAACTAATACTATATCAAAGGTACTAAAATAGCAGTTAACAGTCCAGTAAATGTTCATCTTGAAATATCACTAACAATATCAGTTATTCTTACTTCTTACTAAAAATCAGTAAAAATTTGACAGCAAAAAGACCAGTGAAGCAGCAGCTGAACGTGGACGTTTGTGCAATTAGACTAAAATACTTTTTACTTGATAATAAAGTCAAAAATATCAATCAGACTTGAACAACAGCTTTGATCAAGTTTGCAAGTTTTGATCAGGTTGATCATTTATATTATTAAAAAAATAGCAAATCAAATATGATACCATAGGGCTAAAACTGTTTATATGTAGACAAGACCACAGGAAGCAGTTGAGTCCTCTGCACAATCTGACTTTGCTGCAGCCTGGAATTGAACTGCTGGTTTCGTCTGGCCAGAGGAGAACTGGCCCCCCGACTGAGCCTCGTTTCTCCCAAGGTTTTATTCTTCATTCTGTCACCGATGGAGTTTTGGTTCCTTGCCGCTGTCGCCTCTGGCTTGCTTAGTTGGGGACACTTAATTTCCAGCGATATCGTTGACTTGATTGCACAGACACTATTTAAACTGAACTGAGCTGGATGATGGCATCACTGAATTCAATGATGAACTGCCTATAACTTAATATTGAGTGTTTACTATTGTCATTTTGCATTATTGACACACTATTTTCCTAATTAATGCTGTACAGTTGCTTTGACACAATCTGTATTGTTAAAAGCGCTATATAAATAAAGGTGACTTGACTTATAGCCTAATGGCCAAACCAGCACAAAACCCTGTGAAATCTTGAAAGTAGACCTGTCTGAGCATCTAACTGGCCTGAAAAGACTGTGACAGCAGATGTGATCTTGTTCTTTCGTTCTCCATTTAACACGACAGGACAATTGCTGAATTTCAGCAGTGTGCACTAATTGTAGTCTTTAAAAGCCATTTGCCACCCTGTTCGCGACAGCAAGGTGGTTGATGTTATTTCGGTGTGTGCAAATCAAAGGCTGTTTGCTCTGGAGCGACAGAGACGCCGGCGATCCCCACTGCGCCGCCCCGTCCCACCAGAAAAAGGGCCACGGTTAATTACCTCCGGAGCTCAGTAAAGAACAGCTTTAATTAATGTAAAGTGCTGCTGAGAATGAGTCGCAGGGGACACTCGTCCCGAGTGTCTTCCCTTCAGCCGCCAGTGCTGATCTCCAGCTTGAGTTTAATTTGAAGTCTGCTTGCAGTCGCAGTGCTAATTTACTCCATGAGACGAGCTGTTACTTGAGGTGCAAAAGAGAGAAAACAGTGATAATATTCCGAGATGAAATCAACTCTGTTGCATGCATAGCGCTCTACTGTCATGAACTTCATACACTACCATCACAACTGTTGAAAGAAATGAATGCTTTTATTTAGCAGGGATGAATCAAATTGATCAAAAGTGTTATTGTTACAAAATATTTCTATTTCAAAGAAATGCTGTTGCTCTTCATCGAAGAATTCTGAAAAGGAAAATGCATGACAGTTTCCACAAAAACATGAACTGTTTTCAACATTGATAATAATCAGAAATGTTTCTTGAGCAGCAAATCAGCATATTAGAATGATTTCTGAAGATCATATGACACTGAAGACTGGAGTAATGATGCTGAAAATTCAGTTTTGATCACTGGAATAAATTAAATTTGAACAGATATTCACATAGACAACAGTTATTTTAAATTGTAATAATATTTCACAATTTTGCTGTTTTTACTGTATTTTTAATCAAATAAATGCAGCCTTGGTGAGCAGAAGACTCTTCTTTCAAAAGCATTAAAAAATCTTACCGACCTCAGCGTTTTGAATGATAGTAACAGTCAAAATACAACATGTTAATGGAGTCAAATGGGTTGTGAATGCAATTTTGCAGTTTGAAGGTCCTGAAATGATGCCTATGGTCTTGTCTACTGAAATGTGATGTGATGCATGAAGTTTTTTTCATCTGATTTGTGTAACAGGGCAGATCTCAGTGGAGGGCTTCGCCAGGTATCTGATCAGTGAGGAGAACAGCGTCATTCCTCCAGAAAAACTGGACCAGAGTGAAGACATGACCTCAGTGGAGTGCTCAGGCAGGTATCTGATCAGTGAGGAGAACAGCGTCATTCCTCCAGAAAAACTGGACCAGAGTGAAGACATGACCTTCCCTCTCTCTCAGTACTTCATCAACTCGTCCCACAACACCTACCTCACAGGTACCTCAACACACACACACACACACACACACACACACTACTGTCTGAATGCAAATGCACAATTTATTAGAGAATTCATTATAATAATGCATTTGATTTTTTATAGCACCTGCTTAAATGGCTTCGCTGATAGATAGATAGATAGATGGATGGATGGATGGATGGATGGATG